CGGCCCTGCCCGAGGGGGCTCTCGGGGCGCTGTGGCGGGCGGTGAGGTGGCGAGCATGGGAGGGACGGACGGAGGCAGGGAAGGAAGGAGGGAAAGGGATGCTTCCGGCTTCTCGCGGGGATGAGTGCTGTATTTTCTAATCCCAGTACTGCTCTCTTCAGCGGACGTCACGCGAAACTTAAAGGCACTTCTCGGTTCTGCGTGCGGGAGAAACCAGTTCGAGTTTGGCGCGGGGGGGAGCACGGACCAACTCTCTCTGCGTTGTAGTAATTGTTCCTTGGTAACCATTAGTAACCAAGTGATGCAATATCACTTAACTCACATGGGCTTCATCTCAGCCTGCTGACCAGTTTTTTTATTGCTTTCCAAGATCTTCCTGTACGTCCATCAAATTTCACTTTTCGAACCATGGAGGGAGAACAGATAATGGAGGGACAGCCACAGGTATTACAAGAAATGTTTTATGTGTGTTATGTTATATGCATAAAAGGAGCATTTTAGCTTTGCTAACTGTGTGTTATTTTACAGGTTCCAGAAAATCCTCATTCCGAATACGGTCTCACTGAAAATGTGGAGGTAACTAAGATTTTGTTGCAGTGGAAGTCATATTTGTGATTAGGGGAAAAAAGTTGAATCCTGACTCAAACTTTAGAAAATGTACTATTCTAAATGGAGCTAAGGAATACCTGTCCCTTGCGGAAACGGCTGTAAATATATTTTCTGTTGTGCTACTTCCATTGTACTAAATGGTACTGAAGTAAATAATGAGCCTTTTAATGAGTTGGGTTTTTTTTTTTAAAGTATCTTACAATTATTATATGTTCTATTGCTGTTTGTGAGATATATATATTGTGGCACAAAAAAAGCCATCCACATTAGGCTCAACCTGTGCTGAGTAAACTGGGACAATCACTTCCTAACTCTGTGGCATTTATTTACTCCTCTTCTAAAGAAAAGCCTTCAGTCTCCCTTTATTATAAATTCCTACTCTGTGCTTAGCTGTTGCAGCAAGTATTCTTAAACACCTTCTGAGATGCATCTCTTTGATACCTGCTTGTCTCTATGCCTCAGCTTCCATGGTTCCTACAGAACCATAACACACTGGTCCCTTGTCAGTAGATTCATGTACATTGCATTGAATGTGTTTGGTTTACTGGCAGTGGGAGGGTTTCACTTGTCAATTACAGTTAATGGTGTAAGATGATTCAGCACTTTTTGATCAAAAAGTACCTGGAAACATTTGGATATGTTTTCTTTAAAACCAGAGTAGAGCACAGTCACAAAGTACTTGACTTTAGCAGAGTCCCCTTTGTCAGGCTTCACCTGAATTCCCTGTGATTTTAGCATTTTGTGTTAGAAGCACATGTGTACAGGAACCATGTAACTGAGACTCTCATTAGTAGTCATTCCTGTCTTCCTGGTGTAGAGTTCAAATCAGTGAATGCAAAAGCAGAAATAAAAATTACTTGGATTGGATGTCTTCTCTTGTAGAAAATTTACAATTTCTAAACATTGTGTCCCGAAAACATAGGAATTTAACGGAAGGTTCCTCTGGATTAGTTTTTTGTGCAAGGAAAAATAGGCACTTAAATATTCTTAAAAGATAAAGAAAAAAGATAAAATTTAAAGAAATTATTGCCATCCTATTGCAGAGATGGGTACTTTGCACACACATTTCAAGGTAGTTGTAGCTGCTTTTTTTTTTTTTTTTTTTTTCTTCAGAGAATAGTAGAAAATGAGAAACTAAATGCCGAGAAAACATCAAAGCAGAAGGTGGATCTCCAGTCACTACCCACACGTGCCTACTTGGATCAGACAGTTGTACCTATCTTGCTACAGGGACTTGCTGTTCTTGCAAAAGAGAGGTAAGATGCTTCCGTGTTCTTCTATTCCTAGGAAAATGTAGGTCTCAAACTTGGGCAGTGCAGCACCTTTCAGGCCTCACACACCAAGTACAGTTTTGCTCTTTGTAAGATTGTCATTACAACAGGTTTATGAAGCTATGAATTACTGTGATTGATCCTGCACTATCAGCACAGTAAGAAGCAGACCGATGGTTTATCCTCTGAGTAAAGATTATGCTATTGAGGTGTACCAGCTCTCTTTACCAGTCAGTGTAGAAAGGTATCCTTCAGTGACAGCAGTTAACTAATTTCTAGCCTTATCCTCGCTAGTGGCAAATCGTCCTGCATGTAACCATCTCTCAAACTGAATACAATCAAAAGCTGGTATAGATGACCATAATCGCATCATGGCACCTACAGTCAGAAAAACCATCAACAGTGTATGAACTTTAAAAGGAGATGGGCATTTAAACTGCAGTGTACAGACAGCTAATTAAGCAAAATTAAAGACCTAGGAAGATCCACCCCATGTGCATGCCTGAGGGATGTGCAGATCTTCAGCTGACATCTGTGGGAGTTCTGCTGCAGACTCCATGTAAAACACAGCCCAGGGTTAATACCCCAGCCTTACACGCTGGATACTTGTGTGACAGGCAAGCTTTTCCCTTCCCCCTCCCTTTCTCATTCCCTTCTCTTCCCTTTCTCTTTCCTTTCCCCTTTCCTTGCCTTGGCTTCTTCCATCTTCTTTACCGGGGCACATCACAGGAGTGAAATTGGGTCATTGATAGGAGGGGTTGGGGAACATAGAGGTAAAAATCTGCATAGTGTGAACTTGCCAGGTCAAACTGTTTGTTCAGGTGAGCATAATAAACCCTCAGGATTGAGAAAGCTGAACTGTCAGCTCTGCTGTATAATCTACTGCTTAAAATTGAACAGGAAAGTAGTGGATGCTAAGTTCTTTCTCAAAGGAATATAGACATGTTCAGGGAACAGCCCAGTACATCTGATGATCATGCCTGGAATTCAGTAGAAACTACCATCCAGGATAGTAAGCATATGGATAAATGACATATTTGGGAGGAAACCAACACAATTTTTGTCAGGTCTTTTAAGTATCTTGGAGTTTATTGAAGGAATCAGCAAGCATACATAAAGAGGAATGCAAATGATGCAGTCTGCGTGTTTAAATTTCCAAAAAGTTTTTCACATAGTTATTCACTGACATCTTTTAAAGGGATTTAGTTGCTATTGGGATTAAAGGAAATAGCTTTATATGGATGAGGAAGTGATGGGAAGATATGAGATAGAGGGTAGAAGTAAATGTTGAGTTTTCATGGTGAAACGAGCTCAACACTAGAATCATGGAAAAGATCCCTAAAGAATTTGAAGAAGTGGCTGACAGAAGTTGTTAATGAGACTGAGTTTTACAGAATAGATTGGGGAGTTTTGTGCTTCTTTTTTTTGAAGTTGTTTTTAAGTAGATCAACTGTAAATAATTGCACAGGAACTTCATAAAAATGTGAAGACATGAAAAATTTAAACTGACAGAAAGTGACATTGAATCCAAATAAACATAAAATTGTGGACATCAGAGGGTAGTGGAAAGCACTACTGACAAAATGTTAGATTCTGAGCTGAAAATCACCCTTGTGGAAAAATGCTAAACTGTTACATGTGTATGTCAATGCGCTGCTTTAATAAAAAATAAATCCTGAATGGCAGGACTTAGAAACTGAATGGGAAAAACCAACTTAAAGGGGTGAAAAACAAGCATAATGTCACTATTTAAATTTGTGATGTTCTTGTATTCTTAGTATTATGTGTAATGCCCCTGTATTCTGGTAGAATGTGAAAAAGTGAGAGTGACAAGGCAGTCAGAAGATGGAATGCCAGCTCTGTATGGAGTGACTGAATAGATGATATCTAGAAAAGAGGTTTCTGTGGATGAACATATTAGGGGCCTGTTAAATCACAACAGCACAGAGATCATGGATTGGGTGGAGTGTTTATTATCTCTTCTGATACAGTAATCAAATTAAACAAAGCAGTTAGCAAATATATAACAAACAAAAGGGCTGATCCTTCACAGGTCACATAATTAAGCTATTTTTTTTGTTTTCAGTTGAGGACATTTTTTTGTGCTCAAGAGGCAACTGGTCAAAGCTGTAGAGGAATCCACCCAGGACTATTAAGGGTGCTAGCTCAGAAATTGGTACATGCTTGGAAGCCAAAAGGATGGTCCCGAGAAGTATCTCTATATTTTTTTTTGTTGTTGTTTTTGTGCTCTTTATAGGCATATTTGCTCACTGCCATACCTTTGGTTTGACCTTCTGTGGACAGAATCCAGATTAGCAGGATTCACATGGTATAGCTGGAGGAGTTTTTTTTAAAAAAACTACAGACTAAGGCCAGTGATCAAAAATGTTTACTATTGACTACTTGCAAGCTACAGCACTTCTCAAACTTGAAAATTTGTTGTGTTAGTTTTACTTGCCAGAAACCATAAAAACAACTCTTAATACACTAAGATACACAATAACCACTTGAAAAAAAAATTAAGCAAAAAAGCTAAGATTCAGTTTAAATAGCATGAGTTAAAGAAATAGGCAAATGCATGTCATAGCCAATGATGTACATACAGTATTTATGCTTACAGGCTGTGGTTTTAGGCATGTAATTGTTCTAGCAATTTAGTAACATTGAACCAGCAGTAACTAAGACTCCTTTTTAAAAACGTTCTCATTAAACATAAAATGGAAATTTGCAGAGTCACTCTAGGTAGTTTGTCATCCCTAAATCAATGCTTAGAAGTGTTTGGGAGGAGTTATGTTCTTTTAAGGGAAGGTGGTTTGTCCTTCAGCCACCTAATTTCATATAATAAAAAATAACTGCTTTTGATTTACTTTTTTTCTTTGCAGACCGCCCAATCCCATTGAATTTCTAGCAGCATATCTTTTAAAAAACAAGTCACAATTTGAGGACCGAAATTAACTCCATAAAAATGAGGACAGTTTGGCTGCTAGACTGAAATGCTCATTTGCCGCAATTTGTTTTCTGCTGTAAAAATCCTTTGGCCACGTTGTTGTCTTAACTGCACAATTTGATTTATCTTTTGAGTTTATTTAATAAAGAATACTTTACATTTAATTGTTCTCTTGTTTTAAATTAGCTATTAAGAGACTTTCAAAATAAAGTACTGAAACTGCACTGCTGGATGAAAGTCTTAATAATCCCATGGGGCTACATCCTCTGAATGCATGACATAAAGGGGAACAATTTATTACAAGAATCACATGGCTGATTATTTATATAACTTCATTTGGTTTTATATAGCACCCTCCAGTGCAACATGCCTAAACAGAAAGCAAACAAATGTAGAACAATTATTTATTTATTAAGTAGAGAGGAGAGAACTTGCTTCAGAACACCAGGAAATGGGTTTAGTAAAACAAACAATGAGATCCAGCAGCTGAATGGATCACCTATAGACAGTATCCAGTGTCTCACATAGGTACATTAATGAGGTGTGCTGTTCAGCATTTGTCATTGCTCTCCTATGATTGGATTCAGTGTACTGGATTCAGCTGAAACACAAAATGAACTTGGAAGTGACGTGTAAGAGTTCTGTAATTCAGTCCTCTGTACTGCTACCCTTAGTTGAATTGTATAAAAACTTGGCAGGGACTGAGGTCTTGCTGTTAGTCTTAGCAGGAAGGTTCTCACTATTTTACATACATCTTAGTATCTTAGAACACAAACACTGAATTCGTGCAGTGTAAGAGCAGGAAGAATGGGGAACAAAAATTGAAAGAAGCCTGGAAACCCCAAATAAAGGCTAAAAGCTGTCTTTTGGAAAATATACCAAAATTTGGAAGGAGATTACTAATTCTATTGCGTTGTGGCGAACAGTCTCCATCAAACAGTGACACTAAAAAGATACTGAAAGAATTTTAACAACAGTGTTTTGACTTTCTGGAATGAGTAATAACATTTAAGTGAAGACAAGGAAACACCATAAGGACTTGGTACTGCTATTTTTATTGCTAAAACAGCATTCCAACGTTTCATAAGAAACAACTTTGCCAGACTGTAAGATGCAAAGGGAATCTATGCTGCTTCCCAGCTTCTATGTTGAGAATTTGTGCAACACCAAACAAAAAGAAGCAGTTAGACTTTTAATTCTCCCCAGACAGAGCAATTTTTTTAGATTTTAGAATTACCTTAATTCAGAACACAATAAGATTTCTTACCTCATAGTAACACCTGTCAAGCAGCTGCACAAAACTTGAAACACTGGCTTTCTGCACACCTCTTCCATCAACTTGGAATCTTAAAGCATCAGTCCTAGTGCTAAGGGGAGCTGTCCCTGACAGCAGCATGCAATCTACTCAGCTGCTGGTGTCACTGGTATGTGGAGTCATCTGCTATTATTTTCCCATCTAGGCTAGAGATTTAATTCAAGGGAATGAAAAAGCCATGTTCACACAGTGATGATGTTAGAAGACTCACTACAACACCTTTTCTGGGCAGCCTCCTCTAAGAAATAAGTTGAAATGTGACTGGCAGCAGTGAACTCACCAGCTCTAAGAATTAAATCTTAGTGATTCCTCTGAAGGTATGCCAAGTCAACAAGACAAGCACAAGAGTCTTCCTTTACTTGTTGAATTAGCTTCACCAATTGAGATCTTCTGCATAGAAGATACTCTGTAACAGGAATAAGTAGCAAGTTAATACTATTATCTAGTTCTTAGTTACAAAAGTAATGATGAAGTGTAAATTATAAAAGCATTTACTTGTTTTAAACTCTTCACTACAAAACAATGAAAATTCTGTGAAGAGACTTGACAGATGCTTGCTATCCCAATTTAGTCTAGAAAGAAAGTGGTATTGTTTTTCCACAGGAAATAACAGTTCTGAAATCTTCAAAATAAATTGTATTTCATTTTGAAATACAAATACATTTAGAGTAAAGGCTTGAGGAAATACTTGAAAATGGCAACTTTAGATGTATGAGAGGACACTGCTAAGCAGCTGAAAGCCATTATCTTTTTTTTTTTAATTATTTTTTTAGTGTTCACCCAAATGGCAGTAAAACTGAATAGAAAATAAAATGGAATTCCTAGTGTACTTGACAACATGCCTTTCAAGATGAATATTTTATATCTCAAATATCCAGAAGCTACTATTCAGTAACTGTGAATGAATTATAATATATGAGTCATATGCAGTATTTGAATTGTGCCTTCTGAACTGCTTCCACTGAGAACATTGTCTTTTACCAGGAAGGGAACAATGACAGAAGAAAGGATTTCCCACTATAAGCAATTCTGATCAAAGGATTCTACATCCTTCTATTCTGAAGCCTGTTACCACCTAAAATTACAGTTTGACTTGCCAAATCTTTTTTTTTTTTTTTTGCTCCTCTGATTTATCAAAGACTTTCTCCAAAATCAGTGTGTCTTTGAGCAATCCATTTTATTTTCTGAGGCGCTGTCACCATTGTAAAAACAGTCTGATCAAAAGAACTTTTCTCTGCCCATCAGACTTCCTAGAAATAAAAGACCTGCTTTCAAACAAATGAAAAATCTGAAAAATTCTGAAAGGTATAAGCAATTGAAACCTGTAGGTTGGAAAGGAGACATGAGAAAAATTCCTATGCCCACCACGCTTCATAGAGTGGAGGTTTTGATATATTCTTATCATTGTACTTATTACATAACAAATTATTCTTAGCCAAGCCTTAGCTTGTGTTCCCTATTCCATTTCATAGTTAGGATTCATTTTAAGGGTGACTACATAGCCTAGATCACAGAAATACAGAATGCCAGCTGTTACAGAAAGAGGCATTTTACCATGATGAAAAGTCTATCAGCACCATTTCTGCTAACGTTCCTATTCAAATACAGTTTTAAGGACTTCAAATGTAAATGTACCATGAATAATTATGGGGCAGTTTACATCAGTGCCAGTGCAACACTGACTAGGAATGTTCATATTCCTATTTCAAAAGTGCTTTTAGCTCTCTTCTTGAAGTTTGCTTTGCAATTGTATATAACAGACCTGTTTTCCAAAAGGAGCCTAAATTGCTAAAAGACTGCTGGGTGGTTGAGAAGTATTTACAAGATGGATAATTACCCACTGATATTATCTCAGATGCTCTTCTGTTACACAGGAAATGGAGATATTTCCCTCATAAGGACTGTGAAGCTGGGGGTGAGGTGGGGGTGTCTGCTTTTAACAGTAGAACGAAGGATTGGTAGGAACAGCAGGTTCCTCAGATGCAGAACAACGGTTTGTAAATAGAAAAACCTAAAGTAACAGTGAACAGCTTCCTGAGAAGGGAGGGGACAGGAAGCAGGCATTGTGATAAACACCACAGAAAATAACCACGTGCAAGAGGACTATGAGAGCAAAAACCAAGAAACCAAGCAACAGACTGAAAGCTGGGCCAACTGAAAACGTCCCATCCCGGATGGTCACAGGGTGTTACTGAAGGAAAACCCTCCATGCTAAGGAGGCACTTTGCCAGTGCCTTCATGCTTTTCTTACAGGTAAGAAACAAACTGCTAACAGACACACATGCAACAGAGGTCTGTGCTTTAAGGGTGTGCAAGCCTGGGGGATTGTCCATGCATTGTGTCAACTCTCTCCTGCTTATCAGAGGAAAAGGACTGGGATAACAGCACGGGACTGTTAAGTGCTCCTGTTACTGTTCCCCATCCCCAACAAACAGTGCTTGGAAGAATTGTACATGAAGCAGGAACATCTCCCAACCTAACCCATGCTTCATATCATTTCACTGAAAGCTCAGCCTAGTTTCTCGGTTTGTGGCTAGAACATTTCCATACTCCGTGTCCTGTGTACCAGGAAGCCCAGCACTGCCATCGGTGGGATCCCACCCTGTGGGAAAGGACCCACAAGGATCAAGTCCAACTCCTGGTGCTGCACAGGACACCCCAAGACTCACAGCATGTGCCTTAGAGCGTTTTCCAAACACTTGAAGAGCTGGCTGGTTTTCTGTTTCTGCCTCTACACGTGGTACTGAGGGAGCACATCACCAGCCCTTACACAAACAGTTCATGACTAGGAGAGGATAGTTACCAACAGGAACCCACTAGTCACTAAACACTGCTCAGTGGTATTATGACTACTTGTGATAGGGTACAAATTAATATCCAGCTGTCACCCTTAGCAGTGGAAACGGAAGAAGTTAATTTTGTAGTGCTATGGCTAACAAGCTTTGTCAGGAGCAAGCAAAAACTGGAGGATGTTTTCCAGCTTCTATGGGCTCTGGATTGACAGCGCTAATTGATAACAGAAAAGGGCAGAGATTCACCTGGTTGTCACAGTGTTGGTAGCACATACCACAATTTAAGGATTAGCAAAATGAAAGCTGTGCTAACCTGCCAACACTGAGCTGTATTGTTCCTCTGCATCTACATGGATGCCGTGTTCATGTTACACCCAGTAAAAACTTCATCCTCATCTGTGCCTAGTCTAGGAGAGATAAAACTACACACAAGGAAAGAAAGGTTAATGAGGAAAGCAAGGGAGAAGGAATCTTTAAAAAGCACAAGGAGAAAAGGAATCCAGCCTGTTAAATAGCTGGAAGAAATATATTTAAGGAATTTTAAAAGGCAAGCTGAAGAGGAAGAAACCACTACTAAAGGAAGGTAGTACACCCAGAAGAAAATACTTATAAAATGTTTTTATTAAACCATCTGGATTACTACTCAGAAATTCTTATATTTTTAATTGAAAGGGAAATGCTAGGAGAAAATGAAAGCTGTTCCTCTAAGTGATAGAAAATAATACCAGATAATTAAAAATTATGTTTTATAAAAAAATGTTCCTCGTAGCAGCCTCTTCTAACTGTTGGTGATGGACTGTGGGACAATGGTGTATCAATAACTTGAATATACCCTGCTGTGACTCATTTTTAAAGTTTATAATCACAAGTAGTTATTTTTCTCCATGCAGTAAAATATATCCTCTGCTGCATTTAGTTAAATGTATTGTAGGATTAGTTTATTGAAGGATCATTTCAAGAACTACTCTTACTAGTGAAGTTTATGTAAATAATTTGAGAGGTATAAATGGCTATCACAACTACCGATATAGTTTTATGTTAAAACAGTCAGGTAGGGTAGTTCTTCCAGTCTAGGCAGCATTTATAATCTGCATTAACCTTTTTGAAGACACTGTTTGTAAAGTAACAGTAGAATACTGTAAGGTTATGTAGAGCAGTGAAGGCTTCATAAAACATTAGACATTTGCTGGGATAATCAGGCCCCATTTCCTCATGGCTGCCTATTAGAAATGATATTAACTGGAGACCCCGGTCCTTACTGCCCCTCAGCTGCACTGGCAAGGCAGTGTCATGGGTGCAGAGGAGGATCCTCACTAATAAAAAGGAGACAAGCCATGCCTGCAGCATGAGCTTTTTTGATCTCCAAGACATATTGCGAATAATGCCTTTGTCCCACCCGCTTCCTTTGTTTCACTGTAAAAAAATCAAAACCAGTGCAAAACCTCGCAAACAAAAACAAAACAACATCCCAAACCTCCGTATTTTGCACGCATTTATAACTGACTGGAGGACTTTTCGAAGAATTAGATGACAAAGGGGGAGGAGGAGAATGTGTTTCCTGACCACACGTGCTCCATCTCACAAAGCCCCAGTCTGCCTTGAAGGCCTTAATGGCTGCAGCCCCTCATCTCTCCCGTTGTGGTTTCCTCTCTGCTGGTTGCATCTCCCACGTCAGCGGCTGAAATTGCTTTTTCCCTTCCCCCTTTTGTACCGGCCATACTCCCCTTTTCAGTTCTGCCTCGTTAGCTATTTTGAGCCACGCTTGATGTCTCCATGGCAGCAGTTCATTCACCCAGATAATAATAATAAAAAAAAATAAATTCAAGGGGTGGGGAAGTATTAGGCTGAGAAGAACCGGAGACTTCCACACAGCTGCACTCCCACGGCCCTCGCTCCGTGCCACGCTGCCGCGGGCCTCACGGCACGGGCAGGGAGGCGCAGGGGAAAGATCCTTGTTCGGAAACACGGAGCCCCAGCGCAGCAAAAATCCACGTTCCTAAAGACGCCTTTGGGTAGCGGTGCTCCGTCCCTCGAGCCCTCAGCATCCCAACTGCTCCCATCGGCCGTGCCGGGCGCGGGAGGCAGCGGAGAACGGGGTGCTCCCGCGGGTCACCCCGGGGGTCTCCCGNGGCGGGGACCGGGCAGAGCCGGGGAGGGAGCGCCGCGGAGCACCCTGAGCGCACCTGCCGGCCGCCGCTGTCCCGCTCCTCCGGGCCGGGTCCCTGCAGCGGCGCCTCTCGGCCGAAACCGGCGTTCGGTCGTCACCGGGGATGGGTCGGGCCCCCCCGGCTGCGCCTCGTGCGACTGCCGTGCCCGGCGGCCGTGCCTCGCCGCAGCTTCGTGTGTCTCGGCAGCGGGGTTGGAGCCAGCTCGGGGCTGTGCTTCCTACCGAGTGTTGCTCTCCGTCAGAGCACACAGACGGATTTCAGTATTTTCATCTATTCCTGGGGTTTCTTTTTTTGTTAATTCAATGAGAAAATAACTAACCGCTCCTGTCTGGGGTTAGAAAGCAGGGGGAAAGGTGTGGAAATAAGGAGGTTTATTTTACTTCTTGTCGAGGTGTGAAAATAGGGAGATTTATTTCTCTTTTTGTAGTCCAAGAAAACCTATTTTTCCTTCCCGAGCGCTTTCTTTAGTACCAGTGAAAAGTTACTGAGCAATAGTGCAGAGTGGCTCTGTCCATTTAAACATGTGGTACTTGCAGAAGAAGAATAGAAGAAAAACGTGGTGCATTGGAGGGCGGGCTACCGCTCCCCTCGCCCACGCCAAAAATAAGGGCAGAAACACGTAATAACGGCTTGATAACACATATGTTTGGTGATAAGTTTTGTTCGGTTTGGGGGCAGAACCGCTTTCGTGAAAAAGATGCACGTTTGTCTTTTCAGAGCTGTTAATAAGATTTGTAAAGGATGTTCTTTCACTGGCCTCGGGAGTAAAGATGATTACAAAACTGCAGGTGAACGAGCTTAGATGAACAAGAAGCTGTTAGCTGAGATAGGGGGTGCAATTAATTGAACATAAACCAAACCAAACAATGAAGTGTTATATTCAGGATCCTAAATTCAGCATCTAAGAAGAATTGGATGAGAAGTCATACACTTATCGGCTAAAATAGATGTGGTTTCTCCTCTCCTCCATAAATTGATGAACGAGGTATGAGGCAAAAAATGAAAGGGAAGAAAAGAAATACATGGAGGAGGGTAACACAGGAAGAGGCGGGTTGTGTGATAAGTAGCTGGGCTTCAAATGGTTGGGTAGGCATTTTCGAGACAACAATAGAGGATGATTGTTTTCCTTCCGAGCTTAATATTCTAAACATAATTCTAGTGTCCATTACAAAACTGGCCTCAAATCATCGTGCAGCTTGCAACTACATTTATTTCCAATGATCTAGAAAGGTAGATAGTACTCCATTTACAGAAAATACACAAAATCATATTAAAGGTTTAGGTTTAACCATGTGCAAAGACATGGAAATATCAGAGCTTTGTGGTGATCGCCTTGGTCCTGAAATTTATATTTTCTTTTATGATTAAAGCAGAAAACTGATCTGTGATATGGAATGACTATATGACCTTACACACAAATTTTGTAGTTTGTTTGGTATTGAACGTCATATCAAGTTATTACTGAATACTTGCAAATAAGATTTTTAGTTTTTAAAAAAATTTTTAAGAGGCATGGATACTGTGTTTGACTGTTTTCTTTTCTATAAAAATTCTGTGCATAATTTAGTTAGGCTACACTTTGGTAAGTGTGTGTGACTAGTTTGGCCAGTACTAGTTGTAGTAGGACATCCAAAAGCATGTTACTCCCATTGCTTTTGGGCAGCCCTCTGGCAGTTATTATTGAGGGGATGTGGGATGGTTGCCCAGACACATTGCATGAAAAAAAACCCAAACTGAATCATGTTGTAATAATGAATTATGACAGCTGTGCTTGTGACAAGTTAAATTGTTACAGCGTGTATGGTGGGGGTAAGTGGTTGGTGTTGCATAATCTGAGGATTTTGGAAATATATTTTTGCTTAAATGCGCAAGGAGTATTGTGTGTTGCTGTAGAACTCTCTTCTGCAGTTTGCACTGGGTGTGTGAGAGCAGGAATTGTGCCTGTTCAGCAAGATGGACTGCCTATTATTTATTGCTTGAAAACTAATTTTTGTGTGCCATTTAGGAAGGTCCATCAAAACTCCAGCAAAAACAAATGGGGACCAAGAGGCTATGTGTTCATTGTAGATTTAACTTAAAATTTTCCTATATTTCAGGCCAGACTGTGATGTCAGCTGCTACATCAAACTTGTAACATAGGCTCCTCAATTGTGCTTTTTGAAGAAAGTGTATTTTACCACCATGTGTTTTTAGCCTGCATAGCTTCAAGGCTGGAGCTGAGGCAGGGATCAGTTTGAATTTTGATAGCTCTTCAGTGTGTTCCCACGGTTCTCCAGGGATTGTCTTTTCAAGTCCTCCTACCTCCTCCGTTCTTCGCGCTACTGTCTCAGCCCAGAAGCGATTTGCTGTGTTATATATAAACTGGTTAGCGTTTAAGCTTCCTGTTTCCTCCAAACTGCTCTCTTTCTACAGAGCTAAGTTTGATTACACAGGGTGAGTGGATGCCCTGTGTTCACTTATCTGCTCTGTAGTTAAGATGACCCATCTGAAAGGCTATGGGGAAATGTGATTTTTGACAGATATGTTCAAAATCTTTACATCTGAAAGCATTTTTGAAGAGGTTGAGTGAGGATGAGGTTTTTAAGTGGTAGTTTCTCCTGAGGTGCCTGGTACTTAGTGGTAAAACACCAACACACCATCCAGGATGATGCATGGCATTCTGGACTTGGGAGGGATTTACTGCAAAAGTGACACACCCAGTGCTATTTAAAAAAAAAAAAAAAAAAAAAAAATTTGCTAACATCTGGTTGTAGAAGTCAGCTCTGGGAAAGAAGGGCCAAAGCCAGCTGAGGGGGAAGACAAAGAATGGATCCAGAATGCAGTCTGGCTTTTGTGGTCAGAGGATATTCTTAAACTGGGTTAGCTGTCTCCTCTGCACTCCAGGAGTGGAAGCAATATCAGAAGTGAAGCCACAACCAGGAGGGAGCTACTACACTTCATGGATGGTCAATGGAACATGCGTAAGAGGGTTTGGAAGAAATGCCACTTCTTGTTTTTAGAGGCTTCTAATTTCCATTGGACAACAATTGCTTCAGCTGAAAATAGGCCATTGCTCCATGATTTTCTCCAGACATGGGATATGCGCTGCTTAGGTTCTGCCTTGGAAAATATAAACATGCACTCCATTCTAGTATTAATATGCCACCTACTTGTGTGATGCTAATGAATGCTGTAGAGCAGGTGGGACTGGCTGTGCAATTGTGCATATCCAGGCATGTTCACATGTTAGAGTGTTTCATCTAAGTAAACAACTTTGTAATAGAGGGAAAGTTAGGTCCGGGGGTGAAAGCTCAATGCTTCCTACTCAGTAAACCTGAGAAAGGGGCAAGAAGTGGAAGATGACCTTCGCCATGGTGTTAGGATTTGACTTCCCATGTGTTCTTCATTGTGTGCTGTTGTAACCAAAAAAAAAAAAAAAAATTAAGTTCATTAAGAATTTTTAGCAGGTGAGTTCAGTGTGAAAATTTTAACTGAAATGGTTGTCATCTCTTTTCCTCTAGAATTCTTGGTGTGGGGAAGTTAATGTTCATTCCACATCAGTCAGTGCAGCATCTTAATGAACTTCAGATATATACTTCTGGAGCATTTGATTGGCAGCAAACAGAACGGTGAAGTTGTTCCTCCTTCTACTTAGCAGCACCACTGAGTATGGGAAGCTTTACAGCTGAGCTTCCAAACTGAAATTGTGCTGTGCCCGTTGCTCATAGTAGGCCACTGGTCTAAAAAACTTTGTTCTTCATTTGCAGAGCTTGATCTGCACATCTGCTTTTAAAAAAAGTTGGTGGTATATGACATGCTTTTGTGGACTAGCAGCTTGGGGTATGCTGGCCACTGAAGACATTTGCAAAATTTAGATGCATGCATACAACATAAAGAAAAATATCATGCAATCATGTAGATTGTTAAAAAAAAAAAGAGAAAATATCACTGTTTTGTGGTGAGAAATAGTACACTCACATTTATTTTTGGAAGAAAATCCCAGTCCTGCTGTGTTAATTCAACCACCTAGTATCCAGACCTCTTGAGAAATTGATTTTTAACCAGCAGGTGGAAGAGGAAGACAGCTTGAAACAAAAATGGCATAATTTTCAGTGTCTTTGAATGCAGGCAGACACATTCCTAGATACAAAAGGAGCAGATGAAATGCAATGGAAATGACATGCTAGCCTGAGCATGGACTGTATTCTGGATAAGGGTGTTTATTCTTCGATGTGAGTAGATTCAGTAAGTGCTGGGCAGTAACTGCTGTGGGAAATCAATCCATATGCTCCTGAAATAGAAATAAACATTAGCTATGTGCATCTCTTTTTTTCCTCTGTAGTATGTCATGACAAGTGTGATGTCACATGGTGCTGAACATGGCTTATTGGCTCACAGCTGGCCTCCCTTATCTATCTGGTCCCTGGAAGTGGTAACTCAATACTTAAGAAATACTACTTCTTATTAATGTGATAAGAGTTCTTGTTTCATCTTTTCCCCAGTCAGTGGCATGGTGATACAGATAAAACATGAAGATTTTTAGTAGGCTCTTCCAGGTCACAGGAAGTAAAAATCAAATAGAGAGTGTGTGTGTGAATGACAATACTACATGATATGAAACTTGCCCTGCAAAACAAGTTTGTTGTTATATTAGTTAGGGCTTATTTCTCTGTTTTTCATGACCAAACCATAGTGGCCAGAGGTGTGCTATTAGTCTGTGCCAACTTGTTTGAACTAGGAGAACCTTAATTTCCATAACTTATTAATGCAAATTTCAGTTGGCAGAGTAATTGCTGTGTTGACTTAAAACACCATTGCACTCATTGTCTTCAAAGCTCCTTTTTTATGATGAGCCAACTAAATGGCCAGTAAATATTTGAAGCAACTTTAAACTTAATGGTGCACTTGTGTTTAGAGTTTTCTGCTGCCCTAGATTGTCAGCAGAATAACCCCAAAAGAGGTAGGCATTGACA